CGCTTTTAGGAGGGAACTGGCTCGGACCCATACAATTTCCAAACGGGTTTGGGCCCTATTGATTCCTATAATATGCATAAGAAATTGCTAGGTTTTAAAACATTGTTCATAATGATTTAGGTGTACTCGCTTCCCAAAATCCATAATCCAGTGTTTCACAAGTTTGGATCCGTTTGATTTCCCTTCAAATTGTAATTTGAGGATCATTTAAAAAAAATCTTATCTTTATTTTGATCCCTCCATGCTTATTAGTAATATAAACATTCACCTCTCTCATAAAGGCGGTCATTCTCTCTAATTAAGTCTGCTCTCTTGCCAAATATTTCCTCTTTCTTCGAAACAAACAAAAGAAAATTACATTCAACCAAGACAAACCAAAAAAACAAACAAACACAAACTAATTACATTCGAGAAACAATTAACTCAGCGCAGCAACTCCATCTACCAAAGATTTCCTCTCTCTTGCCAATCACCGTGAACATAAATATGGAAAAAAAAAAAATCAAGAATATAACAATTACTTCAAAATCAAGAAAGTATGACCAATTCCCCTTTTCACAGTTATAAAACAACTTTCAAACCAACCTCCATTGCCGATTCTAATATGGCACTGGCTATTGAAAATACCCACCTAAAAATAGGGCACAATGGTAGCTAGGATTTTGCCGCAGTACTCTATAATAGGGAAGATATCTCCATATCTCTTATTTTTAAATTTCATTTCACAATATACCCAAAGTATTGAACATAGGGTAATATTGTATCACATACCCAATAAATTCAACCGACACTGAAAAGATGCCCGGCAGAGAGAGAGAGAGAGAGAGGGGGGAGCCATGACATGAGTAGGTTTAACTTATTTTGTAAAGCATTTGGGTCCATAGCTAATGTTTAGAGGCCTGTATGAGAGGGATTCAATGTTGTTCCCAAAAGATTACAAGATCATAAAAATCTCCCTTTGTGGTGGTGGGGTCTAATGTACAATTTTGTCCTGCAGGACTATCTTCTCTCCATAGAGTGAAAATTTCAATTTACTGAATTTTTTCTCAAAAATTTGAGAGGACATGTTAACAAAAATTAATAGCATTTTAACAAAAAAAAAAAGTGTTTTTCTTTTTTATGACCATGGTTTCAACGGTCTTAACTTCAAGAAATACCCATTTCATGGGTGCCTTTTAAAAGAACAAAGAAATAGGTAGTCAATTACCCAAATTTTACCTTGCTTTTTTTAACTCTTCAAAAAGAAATACAGGTAATTAAAAGACCCGAGTTTATATAAGGTTGCAACTTTAAAATGTAGAATTTAGTTGCACCTAAAAAATCTATCATAGAAGGCTATTTTGACGTTGGAAAACACTCTAATTGATCATCTGGACATCGAGCTGTATGAGGTGAAAAGAAAAAAAAAAATTGAGTCATAAAGTTAGTTTATCTTGCTACAAGTTATCTAGACCGTTCCTTTTAAATACTTTCAAGTGTTTATATATCTACTTGATTTGAACCATTTTTGGAGTTTAAGATTTTATAGTTAGAGATGAAAATAGATTCTCAAGCCACCTTAAAAAAAATTACACCACAATTATATTTATGATAAGGTTCGAAGGTGCGCCTTAAGGTTGCAACCTTATACAAACCACACCCATTTAAAATTGCCACTTGTACAAGTCATCTAGACAGCTCCTTTTTAATATTTTCAAGTGTTTATATATCTATTTGATTTGAACTATTTTTGGAGTTTAAGATTTTATAGTTAGAGATGAAAATAGATTCTCAAACCACCTTAAAAAAAATTTACACCACAATTATATTTATGATAAGGTTCGAAGGTGCGCCTTAAGGTTGCAACCTTATACAAACCACACCCATTTAAAATTGCCATATTTTGTTCCTCTAACTCACGAAATATAGGTGTTTTGATTACCCCTATTTAATCGTTTAGATTTATTGCTTTTATGTTATATGATGGACGGTATTTATAAATTGTTGCTTCCAAAAAGCCAAAGGATATCCACTTGGGTGTGGTATAGCTTCTTCAATACTCGACCTTTTATAAAAATATATATATATATACAACTCATACAGTTTTTCTTTTAAAGGGTAAAAATTATAAATTACAATATTAATTTTTAACCTCTAAAGGCGGGCTTGAGTTTCCATTTTCTTTAAGGAAAAATTTATCAAATTATCCCTAAGAGATCAACAATTTTAACTATTTACTTGCATCTCTTGTTTTGATTTCAAAATTCCTATTAAAACACATATGGCCTTGAGTTGGAATAGTTACAAGACGGTAAATCTTTGAATAGTTCGTCTTTTATGGGTATTTTGATAAAATTTGTTTTTTTAATGAGGGTCAAGCGGCGAGCAAAGCCCATGGCGAGGCTAGCAACGAACAAAGCCAATGATAGCAAGGTCAAACTATTGGCTGAAAGCATTTTGCATATGAATCAAAAGCTCTTGTTCGAGAGTTTATCGCAAGAACAAAAAGTTATTGTTTGAGAGTGCATCGCAAGAGCAAAAAACTCTTG